CACTTTCATTATAAAAGGAAGTGTGGTTTATTTTGCATGGTGACTTGTTAAAACTCAATGGCATTTTCATGTATGTGGATGTACTCATCTGGCCAAATAAAACACTCAAGAGAAATGACAAGTGGTGCCATTAATCGTTGGACTGTTGTGTTACTGTCATCTCTCTCGACAGACTGTAGGAGATAGCATTCAGTTATGACTCCTTCCTTTAATGAAAATATTGGTTTTTTTTTTTTGTGGCCATTTCCCTAAGAAAGCTAAACACACCACTACCACTACCAGCAACTGCAGCTGTGGGTTGAGTACGTCTTTACCATTTACTAATCTTCAGTTTCAGTTGGATAGAGGAATCTGTTCTAAGCTTACTATTTCAAACAGTGGTGCACACTTGTAATTGCTGCACTTGGGAGCCTGACCCAGAAGGATCTTGAGTTCGAAGCCAGCTTGGGCTGCTCAGCAAGACCTGTCTGATTAAAAAAAGGGGGTGGGAGCAAAGGTGGCTGAGGGAGAAATGCAGTGAGAAGGGCTGCTGACTAGAACTCCTCATAAGGGAGGCTGTGGTGTCTCATTATATTGTAATTTATAGCATTTAGGTCATTTGGGTCCCAGGAAGGATAGCCTAAGGTTTTTGAGTTGGCTGATTCTGTCTGTGGTTTGAAATCCTTTTTCATTTCCTGGAGTAGGCTGTTACTTTTTATTCTGGGCAGAAGTGATAGAGCAGAAGCCATGTGTGGTGGTCACACCTATGATCACTGTACTCCAGGAAGGTGGAGATAGGAGGACCAGGAATTCAATGTCATCCTCAGCTACTTAGGCAGTGCAAGGCTGACCTGGGCTACATGAGACCCTGTCTCAGAAACAAAACCCCAAAAAAGTAGAATAGCTTAGGGTGTTAGTAGTTAAGAAGCAGGCATAATCCACCTATCTTAAAAGTGATCCTGAAGTAAATTGCTTCAAGAAATTAGATGGTGAAGATTTTAGATGGGGAACTTTAGGTTGTCATTAGTATGTCCATTATCCAAGTGGAGATGAAAGAAACTCAAATGAAAAAAATGTGGGTTGCAGGACATGGTGGTTCATACCTTTAATCCTAGCAGTCAGGAGGCAGAGCACCCAGATCTCTCTGAGCTCCAGGACAGCCAGGGTTACATACTGAGAACCTGTCTCAAGCAAACAAGCAAGCAAGCAAACAAAAAGGTCATCTTGAAAAAAATCTTAAATTTTAGCTCTAGAGGGCCTGTGGTGAACTTACGGGCAATGAAGGAATCACATGTAAAATCTTTAGGTAAACATTATCAACTTTAAGTAATTGTGCTTGGGGCTAGAGAGATAGCTCAGTGGTTAAAAGTGCATGCTATGCTTCCAGAGAACACGAGTTCAGGTCCCTCACAGCATCCACTTCCAACTCCTTGGACTCCAGCTCCCTCTTCTGGCCTCCACAGCCACTGCACCGCATGGACATGCACAAATGCACACATCAGACATCCATACAAATGATTAAAAATAAATAAAAATAAGAAAACTTTAAAATAATTTTGTCTGCTGTTATACATAAAATAGTATTAAATCACTTACTAATATTACGTGTGCTGGTGTGCATCTCTTTAATCCTGCTACTTAAAATTTTTGTTTTTATTTTATGTGTATGAGTATTTTTTAAAATATTTATTATATTTAAGCCAGGCATGGTGGCGCACGCCTTTAATACCAGCACCTTTAATCCCAGCACGGCTTTAATCCCAGAGGCAGGCAGATCTCTGTGAGTTTAAGGCCATCCTGGTCTACATAGTGAGTTTCAGGACAGCTGGGGCTACAGGGAGACCTTGTCTCAAAAAGACCAAAAAAAAAAAAATTATTATTTTTAAGCCGGGTGTGGTGGCACACACCTTTAATCCCAGCACTCAGGAGGCAGAGGCAGGCGGATCTCTGTGAGTTCAAGGCCAGGCCGGTCTACATAGTGAGTTCCAGGACAGCTGGGGCTACAGGGAGACCTGGTCTAAAAAAGACCCCCCTGCAAAATGATTTATTTTATGTGTATGAGTATATTGCCTGCATGTGTGTGAGTGCACCCATGTCATGCAGTGCTGCGGAGGTCAGAAGAGGGCTTCAGATTCCCCTGGAACTGGAGTTAAGGATGGTTCAGAGCCACCATGTGGGCGCTTGGAATCTAACCCGGGTCCTCTGCAAGAGCAGTCAGTGCTCTTAACCACTGAGCCATCTCTCCAGCCCCATGTGTATGAGTATTTTGCCTGCATGTATATAAATGCACCATGTGCGTGCAGTGCCCTCAGAGGAGGGCATTGGATCCCTTGGAACTGGAGTTACCAATGGTTGTTAGACGCCATGTGGGTGCTGGGAACCAAAATCTGGTCCTTTGCAAGATCAGCCAGGGCTCTTAAACAAAGAACCATTGTCTCCAGTCCCTTTTTTTAACTGCATTTTTTGAGACAGGACCTCATGTGGCCTAAGCCTCCAAGTAGCCAGTAATGACCCTGAACTTTCATCTTCTTCTACCTCCAAGTATGTCACCAGTTTTGTGTAGTGCTAGATATTGAACCTAGGGTTTCTGTGCATGCTGGGCACATACTACCAACTGAGCTACATTTCCAGCCCCATAAATAGTTTTATCATTCAAAAAGAATTCCCATTTTGGTCCTATTTCATATAGAAGTAAAGAAATACTTAAAAGATGTAAGAGGAAGAAAGATTATGTAATTTGGAAATTTTTTTTTTCTGAGATAGCATCTTGCTGTTCACCCCAGATTGACCTTGAAGTACTGATCATCCTTCCTCAGCCTCCTGAGTGCTGAGATTATAAATGTATGGGGCCTGCAAGGTGGCTCATCAGGTAAGGCACATGCAGCCAAGCCTCAGTCAATCTGCTGGACCCATGTGGTGAAAGGAGAGATGGACTCGCAGATGTGTACCGCCTAGCTGGGGTATCTACTTAATTTTAAAACCACTTTCAGTTCAAAATATCCCCTCCCCCACCTCTTTCCCAGCAGTCCCAGAGCTCCTGGGTTTCAAGTGATCCTCTTGCAAAGAAAAAAAGAAAAGAAGTGATCCTTTTGCCTCTGTCTCTTGAGTAGCTCAAACAGGTGGTTGCCCCTCACAGGCTGGGATTCACAGTAGCTTTTGTTTTGTTTATTCCCTTCCCCCAAAATGCAGTGTTTAACTCAGGGAATTTGTTTTTTAGGCTTGAGTCACTTGATTTGGGTACATTGTAGAGAATCTCTCTGCTGCTTTGCTTTTCCTCCTCCTCTTTTCCCTTAAATTTAAAAGCTGGTCATGGTGGGTATACCTGTAGTCCCAGGTGCTTAGGAGGACTGTGGGAGGCTTATAAGCAACTTGCTTAGGGTGTCAGGTAGCATATCAGACCCCATCTCAACAAACAACAGAAACTAAAGCTGGGTATAGTAGTGGGCACCTAAAATCCTAGCACTTCTGAGACTGAGGCAGACGAATCAGAAGTTAAAAGCCAACCTGGATTACATAGTGGGTTCAGAACCAACCTGGGCTGTATGAGACCCTGTGTCAAAACAAAAACAAAAATTAAAAACAGGCAGAGCATGGTGGCACATACCTTTAATCCCAGGAGTCAGAGGCAAACTCTCTGAGTTTGAGGCCAGATAGTCAACAAGTTCCAGGCCAGCCAGGCTTACATACTAAGACTTTGTCTCATCAATAACAAAAGCAAACAAGCCTGCAACTCTAGTATCTTTTTTTTTTTTTTTCAGTCTCTTTGAGACAGGGTCTCCTTGTAGCCCCAGCTGTCCTGGAACTCACTATATAGACCAGGCTGGCCTCGAACTCACAAAGATCCGCCTGCCTCTGCCTCCCAAGTGCTGGGATTAAAGGCGTGTGCCACCACTCCCGGCTTATTTTGTATTTTTAAAAATATTTATTTATTTTTTATGTGTATGAGTATACTGCCTGCATGCTAGTGCACCTGTGTCATGTAATGCCATGGAGGTCAGAAGAGACTGTCAGATCCCCTGGAACTGGAGTTAAGGACAGTTTGTAGCTGCCATGTGGGTGCTGGGAATTGAACCTGGGTCCTCTGCAAGAGCAGTCAACCTCTGAGCCATCTCTCCAGCCCCTCTATTTTGTATTTTTGTTTATTATTTTTATATGTATGAGTGTTTTGCCTGCATATGTGTAAGTGTACCCATGTCATGCAGTGCCCGAGGAGGTCAGAAGAGGGCATCGAATCTCCTGAAACTGGAGTTATGAATGGTTTTGGCCACCATGTGAGTGCTGGGACTCAAACCTGGGTCTTCTGCAAAAGCAGCTAGTGCTCTTAACCGCAGAGCCATCTCTCCAGGCCCAAAACTCTAGTATCCATTTTGAATTTTAGCTCTTCATGGCTCCTTGAAATGTTTTTTGAAACTTAAAATGTTAGAGGAAGTGACTAAAAGTAGTTCTTTTAAACAACTAGCTAATTCAGAGTAAAAACATCAATTTTATTGAATTCTACATACATTTAATGTTTTAGGCCTACCTGCTGGCTAGGCTTAGAAATTTGGTGAGAAAAAAAAAAGGAGTATTTGAGGGGCTGGAGAGATGGCACTGGTTGCTCTTGCAGAGGATTCCCAGCACCCACGTGGTGGCTAACAACCATTGGTAACTCCAGTTCCAGGGGATCCAATGCCCTCTTCTGACCTCAATAGGCATTGCCCTTACGTATGTGCAGGCAATACACTCATACACATAAAATAAAAATAATAAGTAAAAAAATTTTCAATTACCTTTGTATTAATTATTTGAATATTTCATGTGAGCAACCAATGTGTCTTTTCACAAAATAGTAGATTTTATTTTC